CCCCCCACACACACACAAACCAATTCTCCAACTTTCTGGATTCCATGTAGGTGTCCTACAGTTCAGTAATGATACTGGAGTTAGTGTAGAACCCACAAGTTAAGGACTCAGTCCCACAAAATTTACCTCCACTTTAGATGCCAGTTCCAAGTCCCCAGGGTCTTCTCAGGTTTGATAATTTATTATGATGGTTTATAGAATTCAGTGAAATATTTAATGTTTATCATAAAGGATACAAGTGAAAAAGATTGGCAAAGATCTAGATGAGATCCAAGCATAAGAGTTTTCGTTCTTAGGAAGTTGGGGTGTGTTACCCTCTGGCTTGACATATTCATCAACATGAAAATTCCCCAAATTTTTTAGTTCAGGGATTTCTATGGCTGCTTCATTATGTAGGCATAATGTATTACTGCCTCAGTCTCCAGTTTTTCTCTCCACATTGAAGGATGGGGAAAATGGAAAGTTCCAATCTTGTAATCAATCCTTGGTCTTTCTGTGATCAGCCCCCTTAGTCTTTCTGTGACACTTCAAGTGTCACCTCATTAAAACAAAATGTGCTCCTATTATCTAGGAAATTCCAAGGGATTTAAGAGCTCTGTGTCAGAAACCAGGTTCAGAGACTAAATACTATGACGAAAGTTGCTCAGAGCACCCATATAGTTAGCAAATTATAATGGTGATTTAGGAGCTCTGTGTCAGAACTGGTGACAGATAGTGGAAACATACATTTCTTTCACAGTATTACAGAGACATACGATTATTTAGTCTTTTTATCCTCATTTTTTACAGGCTTTTATTTTGGAAAATTTTGCAGTTTGATAAAAGAGAGGATTGTATAATAATCCCTTGTTACCCAGTTTCAACAATGATTGACTTTTTGCCATTCTTATTTTGTCTGTCCTCTAAATTTTTGTTTCATTTTGTTAGAGTATCTTAAACAAATCCTAGACATTAATTATCATGAGTTTTAATTATTTCATCATGTGTGTATTAGAATTTATTTTTGAACATTTTATACTGTTTTTTTTGTTGTTGTTAAAGTGCTACTTTTAATGTTTGTGTATAAATCAACTTGATGAACATCTTCATATGATAAATCTTTAGATGCCTTGGGCCAGCCTCATGACGAAGTGGTTAAGGAGCTGGATCCCACATGGCTGAACATGTGGTTTGAATTCCAGTTCTGGTGACTTGAAAATCACACTGGGCACGTATGCATGAGTGCTCCAAATTCTGACAGGATAGAGAAATGGAGAAGGGATTATGGCGTGACCATGCCCCATTGGTGGGTGCTTTCTCTCCCCACCTCCTGTGTTCGCTCTCTCTCTCTAGTGAGTACACACACCCTCTGGGGATGGAGTAGGGGAGGAAAGGACCGGCAGGTGGCATGGAGGTTAAGGCAGCTGAATCCTATATGGCAGCACAGTTTGAGTCCTATACCTGTGGGCTTGAAATCCACACTGGGTTCATTTTCGTGGGTGCCCACATCCTGAGAGGGGAATTGCAGTGGCCATCCCTTTTCAGGGTATGGTCTCACCTTCGTCCTCCACCCCTCTCTCTGACTCTGGGGAGCACACATGCTCTATAGCAAGAAAAACAAAACAAAAAACCCCACATACCTTCAAGAGCTTCTGATTATTTTCTTCAGCTGCATCTGAAGTTGTGATCACTAATTTAATATATATGAACCATTAAGAAACAATCTTTTGGGACCAGCAGTTGGTGTAATGGCTACATCACTGGACTCTCATGTTGCCCACTGTGGTTCGAGTCTGGACCCAGTGGTTTAAATTAATGCCAGGCGCGTGTGCGTGCGTGTGTGTGCCCAAGATCCTGAGAGGAGAATGGAGGAGAAGGGATTAGGGCGTGGCCACCCCCTGGGGGGGTGATTTCTTTCTGTCTCTGTCTCTGTCTTTCTGGCGAACACACGCGCCCTATAACAAAACCTCTCAAAAAAAAAATCATTCTGTAGTTATAAAAGTAATTTTTTATTGTAAACATTTGGCAGATTTTTAATTTTATGTTATAGGGCATGTGTACTCGCTAGAGAAAGAGAGAGACAGAGCAAGAGAGGACAAGTGATAAATCACCCCCTAGGGAAAATGGCCACACTGCAGTTTCTTCTCCATTCTCCTTATGAGATTTTTGGGCACATGCACACGTGTGCCTGGTATGAGTTTCAAGACACTGGGTCTAGGACTTGAACTGCGCAGTTGGCCATATGGGATCTTAACACCTTAATTTCCATGCCACCTGCTGGCCCTATTTGGGAAATAAGTCTTAAAAAGGAAGAAAATGAAAACTCCCTCAGCTTGCATCACAAAGAGACCCATGTCCATCTGTCAACTTTTCTTTTTTTTTTTTAGTTGTGTCTTAGATGGTAATCGGGGGCTTCTCTGTGGCTCTGCTCAGAGAAGGGCAATCCTACTTGCAGCTAGGCTTAATTGGTGCAGTTTAATAAGACTTTATGTTTACCCAGCAGCTTAGAAAAATAGCTACATGCTGAGTACACCTCAGGAAGTAGTATCTAAAACACATTGTCTAGTGCTTTGTTGATGTGTAAGATTGCCCTACTCATTTTACAGTTCTGCAGATCATCTTACTCTAAAATTTAGAGAGCTGTCAATATTGCTGAACGTCCTTCCCTTACCACTTTTGAAGAATTTAGTTTCCCATGAAGTACGCTGGTCTGTTCCAGTAGACGTGTTCGTCTTGAGAAACTTGCTTTTGTTGATCATGTTGACGCATGGGAGAGATTGCAATTGTTTATGTTGTGTTGTCCTTTTGCTAAGTTAAAGAAAACTTGAGGAAACTGGAAATGTAAATGTGATTTCTTCATGGTTGTGCTTGGTGGCTATTAGATGATTAATATAAATTACTGTTTCTGTGGAAAAATTAGTCAACTTAAGCACTGTTTTACATATTTTTAGAGCCAAGCCAATTTTATTTGACCCTGCCTTTTGTTATGAACTGGTAAATAAAAATAACTGGGACAGAGACTTGAGACTTTAAGACTTATTTAGGAACTCAGAAACAGTGTCAATGTTTTTGCCTTCTTAAATAATTTAAAGTACTTGAATTTCCTTCTCTTTCAGTTCCTGGAATGGATGGCGGTGCTTTAACTGATACAAGTCTCACAGATTCCTATTTCAGCACCAGCTTTGTTGGAGTCAATGGATTTGGAAGCCCCGTAGAAACAAAGTATCCCTTGATGCAGGTATCCTTAGTATGAATTTATATTACCAAACAGTGAAGTTTATTTCAGGGGCAGTGGAGATTAGAGTCTTCATTTATTCCTAAATTTCTTGAGTAGGAGATGAGATTTTAGGAGGTTTTGAAGCAGGTGGGTTATAGGTAACCCATCCACTGTAGGATTGGAGTTAGAGCTTTCAGAGATGGGGCTTGGGAAGGGGGGAATACAGTGGAGCATGTGGAGGGTAGAGAGCCGAATTCCACTTATCTGTATGTGTACACAGATTAAATTGTGTAGTGATTAGGGTAACTTCTAATTTACCTTTTGAATATATAATACATATGCAGTGTTATAAAATTTAAGTTTACAAAAGAGTCTTTCTCCTGTCCTTCGTCACCCCCCCCTACCCTCACAATTAACCTTCCAAGTGACTGCTACCATTACTAGTTACCAGTTTCCTCTGTGTGTCCTATCAGGAATATTCTTTGCTGGCCTTATTTAATGTTTAAAATGTTAAATTTAAAGCCATAGTACTTGAAGAATGTTTTATGTTTAAAATGTCTTGAGTTTTAAAAATTTTAACCACTTTTTTCTTTTCTTTTCTCTTTCTCTCTCTCTCTCTCTCTCTTTCCTTCCTTCCTTCCTTCATTTATTTATTTTTGCTATAAGGATGTGTGTGCTCATTGGAGAGAGACAGAAAGTGAGAAATCACCACCAAGGAGGAATGGCTGTGCCCCAGCCCCTTCTCCATTCTCATCTTAGGATTTGGGGTATACATGCACATGTGCCCAGCATAATTTTCAAGCCACTGGGTCCAGGACTTGAACCACAGAGTTGGCCATATGCAAGCCAGTGCCTTAATATACCATGCCACCTGCTGGCCCAACCACTTTGTTCTTTTTAGCTAACTTTTTTATTTTTTTGGAGAGGTTTTTGCCGTAGGGCGCGTGCGCTCACCAGACAGAGACAGAGAGACAGAAAGCGAGAAATCACCCCCCAGGGGGGATGGCCACGCTGCAGTCCCTTCTCCTCCATTCTCCTCTCGGGATCTTGGACACACACGCACATGCGCCCAGCTTGAGTTTTAAGTCCCCGGTTCCGGGACGGGAACCATGGCCGACCACGTGGGAGTCCAGCGACATAGCCATTACGCTAAAGGCTGGTCCCTTTTAGCTAACTTTTTTCCTTTAGTTTATCTTGTGATGCAATACTGAGGATGTTTTTATTCACATTATTTTTATAAATTGGACTGGCAGAATTTTGTAGAATTAGGATAAAATTAGAAAGTATCCCAGTGCTATTAATTGGAAAACTTCCCTAATAGAGCATTGTCCTTTCTCATTTCTGTGATACATTATAGGATGGCTTACTCCATAATTGTGATAGGTTATTTAAACACCAGAGGAATTAGTCTTTTTTGTTGTTGTTGTTAAAGGTTTTTGCCATAAGGCATATGTGCTTGTCAGAGAGAGACAGTGACAGGGAAAGTGAAAAATACCCCCTCCCTCCCCTGCTGTGGCCTTGCCATAATCCTTTGTCCTCCATTCTCCGCCTGGGATTTGGGGCATGTACTCACATGCACCTGGTATGATTTTCAAGCCAGCAGATACCGGACTTGAACTGTTGTTTACTGTATGAAAGTCCAGTGCCTTAACCAGCATGCCACCTTTTGACTATAAGGAATTAGTCTTTACATTTTAAGTTGGACTGATATTAAAGATCTGTAGGAGGCCAGTGTTTTTCTGAATGATTTTAATGTTCACATAAAAGCTGAGGTTTAATTTATTGGGTCATTGTAATTCTAAGTCAAAGTGGGTTTTTGCATAGAAAAACATGTCATAACTTTTCCAACAACCCAATAGATAGGCACCCTGAGGGTCATTTGAATTGTAATAATTTAAGTAAACGTACACAGCCATGTAAATGAATGGGTTATTTTTATGAATAATCAACAAATTTCATGACTTTAATGTGTAATATATATATCTCTTGACTGCCCATGAGCCAAATTTAGATTTTTTTTTTTTTCCTCCAATGAAGAGTGGTCCTGCTGTAACCCTTCCAACCCATTCTGTTGGGATTTAGGAACAAGTGTACATGTGCCTAGAGTGTTTTTCAGGCTGCTGGGGCTAGGATTCAAAGTCAGCCATGTGGCAACTGATTCCCTTAATCACTAGGTTATGAGGCTGAACCTCAGGTAGTTTATATAACATATTGGATTGTCAGAATTAAGTCATGATGTATGTTTGCATAGAAAAACATAGAAACATACTTTTCCAATTACTTAATATATATGTTTTATATTAAAATCACTTTAAGAACTCAATCCTTGGGACCAGCAGTTGGCGTAATGGTTATGTTGCTGGAGTCCCATGTAGTTGACTGTGGTTCAAGTCCCGGACCCGGTGGCTTAAACTCACACCAGGCACGTGTGTGTGCGTGCCCAAAATCCTGAGAGGAGAATGGAGAAAAAGGGATTGAAGCATGGCCATCCCCCCTGGGGGGTGATTTCTCACTTTCTGCCTCTGTCTTTCTGGTGAGCACACATGCCCTATAGCAAAAACCTCTCCAGAAAAAAAACAAAACAAAACAAAAAAAGAACTCAATCCTCTGGGGCCAGCAGGTGGTGAGGTAATTAAGGGCGCTGGACTTCCACTTGGCCTACTGCAGTTCAAGTCCCGAACCTGGCAGCTTGCTTTCTCACTTTCTCTCTCTGTCCCTCTCTGGTCAAATTAAAATAAATGAATACATAAATAAATAAAAACCAAATTCTTTTTCAAAAAAAGAATTCAGTCCTCTTCTTTTTTTTTTTTTTTTCTCTCTTGCCAGAGAGAGAGAGAGAGAGAGAGAAATAGAAATAGGAGCAGGGTGAAAGTACCTCCTATAGGACATGGTCACACTACAGTCCCATCTCCTCAATTTCTCCATCATTTTGGGATTTTGGGCATGTGTTTGTACACACATACATAGCTGACATGTTTTTCAAGTCTCTAGACTGAGACTTGGACTGTGGTTGGCCGCTAGACCATGGGATTAGTCATGATGCCACAATCTTTTTTACTTTATTGCTCCATTCTGTCAGGATTTTTTTTTTTTTGGAGAGGTTTTCGCTATAGGGCGCATGCGCTCGCCAGACAGACAGAGAGAGACATAGAGACAGAAAGCGAGAAATCACCCCCCCCCCAGGGGGGATGGCCACGCCGCAATCCCTTCTCCTCCATTCTCCTCTCAGGATCTTGGGCACGCACGCACACGCACCCGGCGTGAGTTCTAAGCCACCGGGTCCGGGATGCGAACCGCCGTTGACTACGTGGGAGTCCAGCGACATAGCCATTACGCTAACTGCTGGTTCCCCCTGTCAGGATTTTGACATGCATACACACGTGCCCAGTATGTGACATCCAGCTTCCATGTATAGCATTTAACCACTGTAGCACCAGGCTGGCCTGGAATTTGTGTTTTATGGATAAGGAAACTGTATTTGTATGTCTTGTCCATGCTAATAAGTTTTGGAATTGCAATTCAAAATAGATAAGCAACTCTGGCTTAAGTATCTGTCTGGTAAATAATATTTTTATTTGATATGTTGCAGGGTATCTTTGGGGGGTTTGCATAGACAAGGTGTAATCCATGCAGCACCATTTATAGAAAGATTACTTTGTTGGTCCAGCAGGTAGCATGGTAGTTGAGGTGCTAGACTCCCACATGACTAGCTGTGGTTCAGTTCCTAGACCTGGTGGTGGCTTGAAAATCACGATGGTCATGTGTGCATGTGTTCCCAAAATGCTGAGAGAAGAATGGATAAGGGATTGTGGCATGCCCATCCCACCGGGGGGATGATTTCTCACTTTCCCTCTCATTGCCTTTCTGTCTGTTTCTCTGGGAAGTGCATGTGTCCTATGACAAAAACCTTGGGGGGAAAAGAAAGATTACTTGTCAGTAATTAAGATGGATTAGAGGGGAAAAAGTAAAGATAATCAAATCTTAATTGGTTGAGTACTTTAAATTTTGTATTCCTTAGTTATATTATGTATGCAAACTTTATCTTTCAGAGAATGACTAATAGTAGCAGCTCCCCAAGCCTTCTAAATGACAGTGCCAAGCCATATGCAGGCCATGGTAAGACTTGATCCTTTTTGCTATGGACTCTGTGTGTGTGTGTGTGTGTGTGTGTGTGTGTGTGTGTGTGTGTGTGTGTGTACATTTTTTATTCTAACAGCAGTATATTGTAGAATGTTTGAAAATTATAAACAGGTATAAAGAAGTAAATTAAAATGGATTATTTTCTTAGATAGTTAGTAAAATTTAGACTTCCCCCATTTCTATATATGTGTTTACTTGTTACAAGATCATATTAGATAAACTTCAGAGTTAATCCTGAGTGCTTCTCAATGACTATAAATTGAATTCCATTGTTTATTTTTATAGTTTACTTAACTACTTTTGTTGCTTTTTCCTATTTTTCTTTAACTATTTCAGTGGACTGTATATGTGAATAATTTTATTTATTTCCTTTTGGTAATCAGTTCTTAGATGTGGAATTATTTCTAAATTATAAATATTTTAAAAACTTTTGTTGTAGGTTTTTCTTTTTTTGAAAAATTTTTTTTTTTTTTTTAATATAGGGCATGTGTGCTTGCTGGAGAGACAGAAATTGAGAAGGGAGCACAGTCCCTTCTCCTCCATTTTCCTCTCGGGATTTTGGGCACTCACACACATATCCCTGGCATGAGTTTTAAGCTGCTGATTCCAAGACTCAAACTGCAGTTTACCATGTAGCAGTTCAGTGCCTTAACCTCTACATCTCTGTCTAGCCCTGTTTTTTTCTTTCTTTTCCTTTTTCTGCCCCCCCCCCCCTTTTGATCATATGGCACGTGCACTTGCTGGAGAGACAGACAGAGACAGAGAAAGGGAAAGGGAAAAATCACCCCCCAGGGAGGATGGTAACATCATAATCCCTTCTCCATTTTTCTCTCAGATTTTGGTCATGCATGCACATGTGCCTGGTGTGACTTTCAAGCTTCCAGTCCAGGACTCGAACTGTGGTTGGCCATGTTGGAGTCCAGTGCCTTAACCACCATGCCACTTTTGACCCCTTAGGTTTTTCTTTTAAAGTTGATCTGTTTGTTTATTTTCTTTACTTTCTACTGCCTTTCTTGCCAGAGAGCATCTGTACTTGTAAGAGAGAGAGACAGAGAGGGATAAAAGAGAGAAAGCACCCACCACTAGATGGTCACACTGCAGTTCTTTCTCCACTGTTTCTCCATCCTGTTGGGATCTTAGGCATACACAACAAGTGCCCCAGTGTGTTTTTCAAGCCACTGGGGTTGGGATTCAAACTGCGGTTGGCCATGATGTGGGATCTAGCTCTCTTAACCACTAGGCCACTGACCCTAAGTTTAGTTTGTGTGGTAATTAGTGGGGAGAGTGAGAGACATATGCCTTTGGCAGAGTCTTAACATGCCATGATCTTCTAGCCCTTCTAGCCATCCAGAATTGTGGGCATGCCTGGCACATTCAGGTTGACCCTGAATCCAGTCCTGAGTCTTTCCCAAATGGCTCTAGTGTTGTATAGATAGCATTGCCTTTGTGCCTGTGCCAATGTGACTAAATGTTTAAGACTTTTGATACAGAATTTTCAAATGTCTTTCTGTATCCTGTTTTAAAAATAAATATTCAATGATGGCTTTTAAAAATACGGGACAATTGACGGGACCAGCAGGTGGCATGGCAGTTAAGGACACTGGGCTCCTAAATGGCTGACCAGGGTTCAAATCCCAGACCTGGCGGCTTGCTTTCTCACCTTCTTTCTCTCTCCCTCTCTCTCTATCTCTTGCTGTGTCCCTCTCTGGTCAGATTAAAAACAAACAAATAAAGTTAAATAATTCTTAAAAAAAAAAAAAAAGGGACAATTGGGAACCAGCAGTTAGCGAAATGGCTAATTCCCTGTACTC